TGTGGCTTCCTCTGGACTCCTTCTAGCAGCTCCATGTCCTTCTGATGCTGGGGACCCCAGAGCTGGACAGAGCATTCCAGGTGGAGTTTCAAGAGTGCAGAGCAGGTGGGGAGAATCTCCTCACTTGGCCTATTGATCATACCTCTTTTGATGTAGCCCAGGATACAGCTGGCTCTTTGGACTGCAAGTGCAGATAAGTATCTAGAGAAGGAGTGAGGATTTCCTGGACTATTATGAGCTGCATTTCCTAATGAGTTCTTTTTGCTAATAAATATTCTAGATTTTGTTGTTTCTAAAGTTCTCTATGTCTGCAGCTGGCAGTATTACCACAGGCAGTTTCAGTGCTGAATCAGTAGTGAGGGTTCAAGTATTGCCAGAATACCAGCTGCTGTTTGGGATTTTGCCTCATTCTTCTGCATGCTGATTTCTTCCTCAGAGCAGCAAATCTTCATGAATGAGTGTGCTGCCTTGAGAGTCTTGTGCATGTATCCATGATAACATGATGACCTCAGCCATCATCAACAAGGCTGTGATATCTTGTAGTGTCTTCTTCAGGTGAGCTCTTAAATAAGGTAAGGTAAGCATTTCCTTCAGGAACAGCAAGTCCAATTGCAATGGAGTGATTACTCCATTTTACATGATGTGAGAGAACTATCTTTCTCATCTAGGACTAAGCTGAATGTAATTTAGCTGCAAAAGTGGTAAGCAAAATTGATTCATTTTTGTTTAAATGCTGGTGTTCCCAGTTAACCAGTAGTAGCCAGTGCTGGCTTTGAACATTCAGCTGTTGACCTCCCAGTGAATTGCTGCGCACTGTCTAACTGTATCCTCCTTCAGCATTCCCTGCTGAGATGACCCACCATCATTCTTCCCATAATTAGCTTCTAAAGGTTATTTTCATCTCTATGCTGATGTGAGTAAAGTGTGTAAATTTGCACCTGTTGATTTCTGACAGTAGTGAAGCTTTTCCAGTAATATTTCTAACTTCAGCTTTCATCTTGTCTTCCACGCAGAGTTATACAGGGGTCTTTGGCAGCATCATATCTCCAAGGCTTCAGCTTGCTTTCTCTCAGCAGAACTAGCTTTTTGCAGTTTCTTCCTGGAGTTTGCTGTGGAAGTGATGGAGTTTTTCATCAGTCAGGTTTTCAAATAATTCACAATGTAGTTATTTGCAGATGATCTTAAGGCAGATGTAAAAATTGCTGGGTCAGCTCCTGTAAATCCACATTACCTTGATTAAACCAATCTTTAATTTCTCGGCAATGATCTCCTTTATTAAACCTGTGTGATCCTATGTAAGTGAATTCAGCTATTGCATATCCCTTTGCCATTAATTATAAATTTGTTTATGTCCTCTTCTGTAATTTAGTGCACAATGTATTTTTCTATTGGTGCTAATGATTTAATTTAATCTGATGGAATTCAACCATTCATGAGAGTAGAGCTTTGGGGAAAGTACATTATCTTACCTGTGTTAAAATACTACCTAGGCAAGGAAACCAGGGGTAATACCTAAGAACACTAAGGAAATTCTCTGTTGGTTGCTCCAGTTTTCAGGATATGAGATGTTGGATTGTGAGTGATTTGCAATTTCACGCAATACCTTTCTTTTTTTTTTTTTTTTTTTTTTTTTATTTCTTCTTGGAACATCTTCTGTATGCTAGAATATTTAAAGTGTATTTTTAAATAGTCACTGGCAATCTGTGAAACACCATTTTAGCATGAATGAGGTCATACGCTACTAAAATACTACTTATACTGGGACACCGAGATGAATTTAAAGTAGCACAGCTAAAAAGTGAAGGCAACAGGTGTTTGATTAGATTGCAGATATTGGCTTTTTTAACATCTGTAGAATAAGTGATATTTCATCCTAAAACTTTTTGAAAATTTACGTGTTTCCACTACTGAATATCATTAAGTCCCAGTGTTCCTAATTTAGAGTATATTTCTTTAAGGTGTTTTTGACTAATAAAATGTGATATCCACCAGATTCATATTGTGATGCAGGACTGAAAGAATTTTGGTTGGATACCAGGCACTTGATGACTAGGAGTATTCTGAAAAAGGAACAGGGCAGGCTGTGCTCCTACACATGCAAAAAAAACCCCAAACCCTGGAGTTATCAGCGTTCTGTAATTTTCACAGAGATGACTGTAAGGTGTATGTGCAGTCTTTCAGGGAGAAATATTTTTTGTGTTGCAAGAAATTGGAGAGTAATTTGTTTAGGTGCAATTATTTTAATAACCTCTTTAGTAAATAAGAATTGTGGGATTTCTCTCTACCCAAATTCCTTGGACTATTAATTTGAGCAAGTCAACGAAGTGAAGAATCCTAGACTTCAATTTCCTCATTGTTTAGAATTGAGTTTACTTCCCTAGTTTACTTTTATAAAGTAATTTAAAGAACTTTTAAAAATATGCTGTTTGAGTCCATGTTGTTGAGAGTTTTAGCACAATCATCCCAAGAATCAATAGATGATACAGCAATTACAGTCAAATCATGAATCCTGATGCTTCAAATTTGATCTTCAGTATGCAGAATGCTATAATAGCCTCACATTTGTAAAATAAAATATGCCAACTCCCATAAAATAGTAGTTTCAGGTGACTAATCATTGTGTAAAGCACAGAGCTGATATCAAATGCAAATCGAGGGCCTTCTGGTTTGTGCAGTTTTGGATCTTAGCCCACAATTCAGAGGCACACACTTCACAGAAATGTGTAACTGTGTCCAGTTCTGGGCTCCTCAGGACAAGAAAGGCATGGAGCTATTGGAGAGGGTCCAGCAGAGGCCACAAAGATGATGAGGGTTCTGGAGCATCTCTTATGAGGATAGACTGTGGGATCTGGGTCTGTTTAGTCTGAAGACTGAGATGAAATCTCAATAATCCATACAAATATTTCCAAGGAGGGTGCCAAGAGGGCGGTGCCAGGCTCTTGTCAGTGGTGCCCAGTGACAGGACAAGGAGCAATGGCCATAAAGTGAAACACAAGAAGTTTCACCCAAACATGAGGAAGAACTTCTTTCTATGGAGGGGGGCAGAGTACTGGAACAGGAAGCTCAGGAATCTTGTGAATTCTCCTTCTCTGGAGATATTCCAAACCTACCTGGATGCATTCCTGTGTCACCTGCTCCAGATGAACCTGCCTTGGCAGGAAGGGTTGGAAAAAGTGGTCACCAGAGGTCCCTTCCAAGCTTAAAAACTCTGTGATTCCATGAGTCTGTGAACAATACAGATTTAACTAGAAACAATGAAATTTTAAAAAACATGGATACAGTGGCTACAAGACATAAAATGATGATGTATTTAATTTGCAAATGCACATGCTATTTAAACTGAGTGCAACTGAAGTGTCAGTCTGGAAACATGGAGTGTCAGAGCCATCTGGAAAAAAACACCCTGCACTATTGAGACATCATTTCAAGACCCTTGCTGTCATGGCTACTGGAAATTTTGCCTGTCTTAAGATTTTATGTAGACAGCCTTTCTTAGGCTTTACTGTAATGGCATGTTACAAAGTTACGAATGCCATCTGAATACCATCTGTCCATACAGAGTAATATCTTATGATTTGGGGAAAACCCTGGCTCCATGAAAACTGGTTCCAAATATTATTTGTGACTCCACTGGAACCGGGATTTTCTGTATCTTCCAACAAATACTTTTAAAGTAATTGCATGTGGAGCTGGAGATCAATACCAACTACTGATAATATTGAGCTGTAGAATGTTATTTGCAGTAATAATTGTGATCAGAGGCAAATCTGTCTTCTGCCCCTTCCAAAGGAGACGTTTAGGGAGGAACCATCAATCTTTCAGAAACGCATTGAGAAAAGAGAAAATGGTCAGTGTAGCCATAGATGCAGTACTAGCTGTTTGGGCCAGAGCTCTGAAATCCCACTGCAGTTAAAGACGGTCTCAAGAGATACCTAACTAATGGTGTATGCCTTCCCAGGTCACTGCTGGGGTAGTGTGCATAGGATATTTTTGCAGTTTTATAATTTTGAAGTATAAAAAAAGGTCTTTTGAGGCCACAAGGGCAACTGCTAGCTTCCAGATTTTTGCCCTGGTGAGATCAGTTCTGGACTAGGGCCAGAAGGTGAGAGAGTGAGGAAGGACGAAAATTTGACTGCAGACCTTCATGTCTTTATTCATCCCACAACTTCTCTATATCTCAGCTGAGCCATTGAATCTGGGAATGTGTCTATATAGATCTGGATTAGATAAGCTCTTTCCATCTGGAATTTAAAGATGAATATACCTTCACATACATTTTGAAGGAGACCCCATTTTCAAGCACAAAACAATAAAGATAGTCTGTGAAATCATTCTGTAATTGTTTTCCATTTTTCTCCATTTGTCCTAATGACAGTGGTAGCACTCAATCAAAGAAGTCATGTAGGTAGTACATGTGCGTGACAGGGATTAAACTTTTATTTTCTGGCAACAGAAAATGAAACTTCAAGATTAAGAAATTAATCTCTTGTAATACTTCAAGATTTTTCTATTAAATTGCTTGCCAGTAGTTTGGGGGAAAAAAGCTATGTGAAATCACACTAGGAAATCCTCCGAGTTCAGCCAAATCTCTGATTGAGTCAGCTTCATTTATCACCGCCATCACCAGCTGATCTATAAATACATCTGCTTTTACAGCCTACGCATTTTGAGATTTGCCTGTTATCTCCTCAGAAGAGAAGGGTTGGTGGCTTCTCTTAAACAAGCCTGGCTTAGCCAAAGCCAACACAAACGTAAGCCTAAGAGGCCAAGCCCATCGGCTGTTGTTAGCTTTGATAGTCGCTGCTATCATTTGAGAGTGTGCTTGTAGCCAGTCCAAGTTGGCAGTGTCAGCCCAAGCTGATTGGAGCTGCAGACATTTTTGCTGACTGGAGTCATGCTATCTTTGCCAGTTTGCTGGAATAGACACAGACACTGATTGGGTCATGCTGAAAACATTCCTGTCCTATGAAGCAAGTCTGTTTGTATTTCAGGTTTGCCAGGACTAATGAATTAAAAATCTTGGGCTCACCAGAGTTTTCTGCTTAATAATGACTGTGACAGAAGGATTTTTTCCTCCCTGAAGTGTGACAGCATCATAATCCCTCATCCCTGGAGGGGGAGGAAGGAAAAGCAGAATTGTGGAGAAAAGTGGAAAAGGGTTATCTTTTGGGACAGCAAAGCCTATGGGAAGTGCAGGTAGCAGCATGTTGCCCTGACAGCTGTCTCAGCTTCTCAGACCTTGTCAGTTTGTTGCTATGCAGCAGGTGCAGCCTTTTCTTTTATTGAAGCTTTACTCCATAAAGGCAACGACAAGCCAAGGCAGTGGCTGGCCCTGGATTATACAAGTGCAGACACTCCGCTAAGTGAGGTAAGGCAACAGGTGTGAAAAAAATCTGTAAAGCTGTAACAGCATTTAATCTGACTTCTCCTGCAGGTTTTTTACAGAGGAACAGCAGCCAGCCAGCTCTACAGGCAATTGTTGGGAAGACAAGAGCTGCTCATTAAATCTCATTAAGTTCCAGTTTGCCCACTCATTCTCATCTCTGTCTACAGAGATACTGTTCTTCATTCATGAAGAAAGGATGTGGGGAATTGGGGGCAGTTGGTCTGCATGTTTCCTAATATCACCTTGTTTGCACACAGGCTTTTTCCGTCCCTCTCTGTTCTCTGTGATTGCTTTTTGTGATGAAGAGCTTGAGGATTTCACAAAAAAGAAGCGAAGAGATAAATGCAATGTAAAAGAAATGATAACAGGGTAAATGCTGTGTAAAAAGATGAGATTTCTTTTTTCTGAATTAGAATAAATTTAAAACTTCCTTTTGTGTTTTGATAGAATTCACCATTTCTTAGTGAAAGGGTATTGATTTTTACCCTCACAGAGTAGATGGTTAAAAGAGTTCATTTTAAAACATTGCACACCACAGAGTATGTGATTGGGATAAAATAACAGTCTTGTAGCAATATTGTTATGGCAACTTTAAAAGCTCTAGCAGAATGCATCCTTTTAATTTCTTAGGCTAGGATGTGAAACGTGAAGTATTCTCTTATGTGAAAGACCACTTGAGATAATCACTGTCAGGGAAAGTGTACAAACAGCACAGAACAATGAACAGCCTTGTTTTAAGGATTTGCTTGTCACTCAAAATCTCTTCATTCTGAGGTTTTTTTTCTTTACCTTGTATTGAGAAGTAAGGAAGGAAAATATGTTAAAGAATTTTGCATTGGTAATTCTGTTGTATTTTAAAAACAATGAGATGTCTCAGATGTTTCTTATGAAATGAGGGTGGGGAAGAGATCAAGAGTGCTCAGAAGGTAAAAATTATTTGTTCTGATGCAATGTACTTCAAAATAAAATGTTTCAGTTGACTCCAAGGGTCTTTTACTGAATCTAAAACATACATGGCTGCAATTTATTTGGCATTTCTTTGCCTCTGCTTCATAGATAATAGTTCCATTTTTGTGAGTCTTGAATATTAGTAATGGGGAATTAAAAGCAATCCCTGATACCTTAATCCTTTGTATACTAGTAGAAAGAGACACTTTCAGCTTCAAATAAAATTCATTCAAAGTAAGGACTTTAGATTATTTGTTGTTATTGTAAGAAAAGATTATGCACTTCAAATAACAAGTAACGATATCACTTTGCTAGCTAAATATCAAGAGAGACAAAGCAAACAAACAAGAAATGCTGAAATTAGTGGACCCAATGCAAATTTGATCCTCTTCCACTGATAGCATGGCAATTATGCCAGAGAGGTGTTGGATTCACTTATGCGCCACCAAGGAAGATTATACTCCTGAAATTGTGTTCTCTTTTATTGACTTTTTGAGACTGCCAAATAATTCAGTATGAATTAGAATGACTTGGTAGAATTTTCATGCAATACAATAGCTACTTTACTGAAAAACTGCAAGATTATTGGCTTAGGAAAGTGGCTCTTGTTTTCACTAGCTAAATGCTCTGTTGTCTGCTGACAATGAATTAGTAAATTCATTGTATTTTCCCGATGAAATTGGTTTCTAATTCCCTAAGAAGTTTTTATGGTCATTTAAAATACATATTTGGTATGAATGCAATGTGTGCTGGATAGCAGTCCAGAATCCTAAAATAATTTCTTTATGGGCAGATCTTTTGCATGCACAAGGTCCCACTGACTTCACATTCTCCACACATGGTGCTAATCAGAAGATTAATATCTTTAAATTTTAGCAGCTTTTTGATAGATAATCAAGGAGATGGTTTTCATTCAGCTATCCAATAGAGTTTAACCAAAATTGTTCATTCAAGAGGTTAAATATACATAGTAGAGCTCAGAGTACAATTTTTCAGGGCTTTTCAACTTTTCTGTCTTAACTTTTAAAGCAGAGATGATTAATTACACTATTAGAGAACAAAAGTAGCTAATTCTTTTGTTGCTCAACAATTCTTTACTGCCATATTTGAAATGAACTAGTAGTTTTCTTAATGGACAGGGTTTCATCACAGTAAAATCACTTTTTGGAACTGATGGTCTCAGAAGAAAGACGGAGGACTTAGTAAGGTCCCGACCCAGGAGCCAAATCCATGCAGACAGACCCCTACACCCGCACAGGCTTCCACTGAAGAATCACCACCAAGGTTTGGAGACCCCATGAATTTTTGGTTATGAAGTGTGTGACTTGCAGGTGCAGTTGGACTGGGGGAGCATGGGTGGAAGGTAGGAGGATGAGTGCCTCCTCATTGACACCATGTGGAGTGGTGTGCACGGTTCCAATCACAGGGCAGGCTTGGGGTCATGTTACTCTCAACTCCCCACCCCTTCTTCCTTCTTCACCTTCAGAACCAGGCAGCATTGCCACGAGTCAAGGCTTGCTGAAGGGGCAATGGCGGGGAGCAAGCAGGTGAGAAGAGAGGCAGCTTCCTTTGCCATCGTTCTTTCTAATCTATAAATAGCAAAAATAAAAGCTGTCTCTGAATTTCACTTAAATTCTTTTTAAATGGAAAAGTGAAATGGCACTCCCTTGACTTTGATTCTAAATATTGCTTAGCTAGGATGGGAAAGGCAGCTCTGAGTGCATGAAAAGCATTAAAACTCATTTGTTGAATGATGTCACATGCTCTGTAATAAATATATTTTTTTGTATTATTGCAGCTGGAACAAACAAGTAAAAACATTGACTCAAGTGCCCACATGATCACCACCGCCAGGGTACCTGCTGATAAGCCAGTACGAATTGCCTTCAGCCTTAATGATTCCCCAGGTACAGTTTACTTTATGGAGTAAAACACAATGCTTTTAAATTTAAACCACAACTGCTTTTAAATTTTACATTAACTTACCAATGTTTACAATATCAAACCTAGTCCAGTGTAATGGATGGATTTTTTTTCCTGAGTGGTAGCATGTGATCAGTTTTCCTGTCTGATAACCTTTAATGTTTCCATTAACAATTTCATTAGACTAAACCCATTAGATTGACAGTTTCGATCTTTACTTACTTTCAGTGGTTTGTGGAATGCAATTAGAACTGTAATGTGCCGTGTGTCTGATTTCATGGAATTGTAGAACAAGAAAAGTAAAAGGACAAATTTGCATGAGCCTAGAGCAGGAACAGACATTTTCTAGGGGGAAGATTGGAAAGTGCCACACATGCCCAGCTTGGTGAAAGGTTTCAGGAAACAGGTGCCCCACATGGCATGTTCTCTGAGATAGCAGCAGAAATTTCATTGATGTTATCCTATCAGCTCGTGCAGAGGGAGTATTACTTTCCCCAAACATACCCTGTATACACATGGACCCTTTGGAGTAGATAAATATTGTTGGTTTGCACTTTCAATATTATTAAGGACTGGAGAGCTGTTGCCAAACAGTGAAAGTCAAAATTAAATAAATCAAAGAGGAAGCTGAAGCTGAAAAGCATCCAAAAAAGGTTGGCTGTTGCTTTTGCGAGGTGAGTGCCTAGAATCAGGACTGAGATGTGTTTATGGCATGAGCTATAAGGACAACTGTTGAGTGCTTTATGGGACTCTGCATTGTAGCATAATGCGTGAGGTCACTGCCTGAGGTTTGTGTGAACAGAATCTCAGCTTGAATACAATTTTCCATTTAAAAAATATTTTAGAATACGCATTGTCTTTCCTAGCTAATTGTTGTGTACTCTTAATTTTCAGCTACAATACTGAAATACAATCTCATCCCCTAAGCAAGGGAATTTAAAACCAAACATCTTCATATATTATTGAATCTAACTTTCCGTTCATAAAGATGAGTGACAAAGAAAGATTTGGACAAGGAATATAAAGAAACACGTGATAATCTATGTACTCTTTTTCATAAATTAAAATAATCTGGTAATTATATTTTTATTACAGAAAGCAGTAAGGAATCATTCACATCTTTCAAGATACAGTCACATGGCAAATTGCTTGCAGGAATTATGGCATAAATAGGTCTTGAAGGAGATGTAAAAGAAAGGGGAGTGCTCTTAAAATTACGAAAAAAAGAATGCTAAAGTAAGACACTGAAAACAAGTCAGAGAAAGCTGAGACCATGGGAAAATCAAAGAGAGTAGAGTGGTTTGTGACAAGAGACAGCAGTAGGAAATGACAAGGTTGTGAATAGCTTGGAAGAAGGGGATATGAAAGGCAGGAAGCTTAACTTCCTTAACATTGCATCATACTTTATTTTTTACTTTTTTATCCTGCTCATAATTCCAGCCTCTCTCTTAACATTTACAAAAATAAACTCAGTGAGAGAAAGGTAATCTTTTCCTTCTACATATTTTTAAATTGTTCCAAATGTTAAAATTGTTAAAATTTTGAGTCTTTTATTGTATATATGCAAATGTTCCTGCAGTATGCGATCCAGAATCTTCATGAGTACTGATAAAAAAAAGCAGCAACCAGTAGAGTGAGTGCCATGTCCCCCACTGCATCCTATTCCTTTGGGGGCTACCAGGAGGTCTAAACTAACATTATTGTTTTACTATGTCATAAGAATTTAGATCATTTTTCTGTTAGATATATTTCAAGAAGACAAAGGAAATAAGCTTTCAGGGTGTGAAAATTTCCTGCAAATCACAGTTGAATCAAGAGAGTACAAACAATTATTTTACACATTTTTTTTAAAGATGAGCTGCAAAAACATTCAACAGATAGACCTTTAGGTATTCCACAGCAGGTGCACTTTTTTCCCTTTACTATTTTTTCCTCCTTAATGAGGATATTTGTTTCCAGTTTGAACAGGAGTTACCTGATGTGTGATAGTAAAGCATCTGCTGAAGCTCATGCACTGCTAGGACACAATAAGTTCTTGGCAAGGGCTATGTGGTGAGGAAATCTCTCTGACTTAAGCTTTTCCTTAAATTCTACCTCACTTGAAAGGCACAGTGACACATTTCACCAAGAAAGGCTGCATTCTCCTTCCGGGGGCTGTGCAACTGCTTACTAGGAGGAACTGACAGCATAACTGGATATAAAAAGAGGAAATGGAATGTTTCTTCTGGGTGGCGATTATCTCACTGGCTAGGATTGTAAGCAAGCAGTGGGTGTGAGGAGCAGTGAAAGGAAAAACTACTCTCAGCTCATGAGAAGAAATTACTTTGTGTTAACTGACTTACAAGACCAGAGTTGGCTTATCCTGAGCGCACAAGAAATAATGTGTGCTACCTTATTTGTCAGTCAACACCTGATGACTTAAATTCTGGCCAGCTTTATGAGGTATTTTTTATATGAAAGTAGAGAAACAAGTTCCTTAAAAGTCTCAGGAGCAGCCTATCAGCGGGTGCTATATAAGAAGACAGTTTTATTGTGTATCTCTTATTCCTGTATATATAAATATCTATATTTGACTCTTTCACTCAAGTTCACTAACACACGCTTCCCAGGGTGTGTCTGTGCACTGTGTAGCAACAGTTTGACTTGAGGTACCATTTTAAAGTAATGAATTGGAAACATTCAACTATTTCACCCTACCTTATATCACTTGGAAACTAATGCAGCTTGAACTGAATGTGGTGTTCCAAGGTTCGAATAAGTGTTCCAAAGCTGAAAATTCATTGTGGTTTGTCAGCATCAATTTCATTTAACTGGTGAAATTCAGTATGTCCTCACTTTTATCAGTCTTACAAATACATGAACTTCACTTAATTTAGACAGCTGGATTTGTTTTGTGTAATAGTTCAAAGGAAAGATTTATAGGTTTATATCTCTTCACCTTGCCTCCTAGAATAAAAGCTTGAATCTAGCTGAAAAGTTCTGCTCATAGTAATAAACGTGGTAATAAACGACTGGGTCTGAAATTGTTAGTGAGTTCTTTAATTTGAAATTAGGCTACCTCTGACAGCACTTTCCAGAAAAATCACTGACAACAAAGGCAAAACACACATCTTCTAATGAACCTGACAGACAGTGGAACAGTGTCATATTTTTGCAAGCATAGCAAAATTACTTATTTTACTCCTCTTTATGCTCATTACCTTAGTGACTACAAGGAATTTTTTGCTTTTCTAGTTTCATGTAAGACTGTTTTGCAGTGGTTGCTTTTTCAAAAGCAACCTCCAAATTCCTGCCCCACTCTCATATTGGTTGTAATGGCCACAGGGATTTTCCAGCACATTGATTGACAGCCAGTGAGGATTGATAAAATATATGGCTGAAATTTACAGAGCTAATTTCCTAAATCTACACCCAACCTACAGGGCTCAGTTCTTGGGCAATTAGGTGGGAAATCAGTGAGATACCTCAAAGGGACATTCATCTGAGGATGCTTAGGCTTGAGTGAAGGTATATGAAGTAGAAGGATATTCCTCTTACCTCTTCCGTTATGGACTGTTTCTATTTTTGGGAGCTCCACAACTCTTATTATTGAGCAAGCCTTCACATCCTATTCCTGGGTGGGGCAGTGACCGTTCCCCACTATTTTACGAGTGAGGTAACTGCGAGGTTGTGTAAGGTCGTGTCAGGCAGGGCTGCGAATAGAAGCCCTGGAGCTCCACAGAGCAGTGCCAAGTCGCAGTCACTTAGCCACACAGCCTTCCAGGATGAATCTGATGAGTCTCTGCTTGTCTGTCAGTGTCCAGGCCCAGAGCTGCTGCATCTCACAGCCCTCCCAGGGCCAAGACTGGACCCTAACAGGCAGTTTGCTGCTGTTGTTGGTTCAACTTGTGGTGCTTGCAGTTCAGTTTGGGCACTTCTCCTGTGCAAGAGCTGATCTACTTACAGGATAGCAGCCTACTTATGTTACCAATTTAATTCTTTAATTTAGAAGGAAGAGATCTGAATACATGGGCCCACACATGTAGGAGAAAAAAAATAGGACCTGACTGTATAATTAAATACTGGATCATAACTCAGTTACTCAAGGAAGCAGAGCTGTGATTGGCATTTCCTAAGTTTCAAGTGCTTGATTTAGCAACCTTAATGTGCTTTCAACACATTTAAATTTTTTATATTCTATTTCTGTCTATCTTAGTGAAGATCACAGAGAAACTAATTTTCAAGATTGTACTGCAGGTGAATCAGTTGTTCTTAAAGGATTTACTACCTTTAGCTCACAGTTCAGTTAAATGGAGTAGCCATATAGGAAAAGATTTTGGTATTACACTTAATAGTGCCAGACATTGTATCAGTTAGACAGAAACATGTGAAGGATTTCTCTCATTTGACTACATGATGGAGCTCTGGGATATTGGAATCTCCAAGAGGCCAGAACATGATTAAATAAGTGAAGCTTTCCTGAAATCAAGCTTCATTCTCAAATATGCAACTTTAGCATATATCAGCTGCCTCAGGGCTTGTAGTGAGCTTTTTGTGCAATCACTGTTAACAGAGTTCAGCTGCTCTTTGTTTCCAATGACAGTTTCCAGCAGCAAACCAAGAGAGCATGTGAACCTGATGAAACAAACATGAAAATCACACTATTTCATGCACATGAACTGAGTCTTTGGTTAAAAACACATGGGTCTTAATCAGGGTACAGGTCTTTAGGGCATTTTTAAATATAGAACTTCAAAATTAGATTTGGGATCTATGGGAAATCAGGAAGTGCTACTCATTTAGAAATGATGTTACAGATATATTAACTTAGGTGGCTGTAATTAAATCCCTGATCTGATTGTTTCACATCACAGGATAGTTCTGTTGAGTTTGCTGGAATGGCCATAATATGCACGTGTACGTTTTTCCTCCTTTCTTGTTTCCTTTTGACCAAAATCTTGACTCATTTTCAGGTGCAGTGAGTTGCTGTCTCTGCTTTTTAAATATATTTTTATTTTCAAGTAAATAGGTTTTCTACATCCAGCTTGAGTTATAAATCATTTTTCTTTATGTGTTTCTATATAGCAACTATAGGGATGAGATGCTGTTTATAGCTGGTGAAGAATCAGCCTAGATATTTTCAGGGATTTGTGGTACAGAAAAGCCACCAACTCTATTATAAAAGGGGTCTTTGATTATATCAGTGATTCCTTAAAAAAATCTAGATATTCCTTAAAAATTGATAATTAATTGAGAAAGGGGGAAAAAGAGGTATTTCAGAATTTTGTTTTCTAGTTAAGAGGCGGAGTAGAAAATAAACACAGATCAGGAGATCATTTTGAGAATGTTTTGATCTTCAGAGTAGTTTAATTGGCATTTCAGACATGTCTTGTATCTGATTTTCAGAGTCAGTAGTTTTTAAGTCAATGTGATTTTGACTGGTATTCTGTGTGTAAGGACAATAGCAATTCTTCAGAAAAAAATGCAAGAGTTATATTTTTCCTCTTGACTTCCTGAAAACATCCTCAAAAAAGTCTTAGAAGGGAATGACTGCTTTCATTTACTTTCCCCTTGTGTGAAATTTTTCATTAGTACTAAGTGCTTTTTATTGTTATTTTTGTGATTGTTACTTTGACAACAGTGAAATAAAGACTGATCTGGGGCAATAATTTATTTCAATGAAAGCTGTGGAGAAAGCCTTTTGTTGTTCTTTTTGTGAAAAACAAGATTACAGTTAGTTAGGAGCATTTCTGTTAATTTTTGTAAACTAGATACTTCAGCTGAAATTCTCAAAAGAGCCTAAGAGAATTAGGAATTCAGAATAATTTCAAAACACTGAGGACTAGCATTTCTCGATGATTTTCTGCACGTCAGATGATGATTTAAACAAGTCTTAAACTAGTATAACTAAAAAAAACCTCTAGCAGCTGTTCAATAGATGCTAGGGCAAGCCCATTATAAAATGTACTATGGTATGTCATAATGGTTAGGATACCAGTACATTCTATTTTTAGTACCATTGACTCAGTCACTTGAGTTCAAAAAATAAGCAGGGAACATCTGTTTATTGAAGGATTTCCTCTACATTAATTTCTCTCTTTATTCCATCCTTTATAGTACTTCCAAAAATTTTAACTGATTCATTTCAGAGTATGATCCAATTTATTTTCCAATATTCTGACACTGTATTAATTTTATTTTCTTATTAATAGCTGATACTGTGAAAAAATAATTACTGTCTGATGTTTCTTCAATTTTTTTTAATCATTTGGAGTGTTGCTTTTGCCATGTTTTTCTGAATTTTTAAAGGTGTTCAAGATCCCTTCATAAAGCTACTCTACCAAAGATTGTACTGCTGGAATTGCCAAAACAAATAGCAGTTTAACTGCCATCCATGACTCTGGTCCAATATCCCTGTCAGAATATTTAACAGCTATTCAGCCAAATACTTGTGGAGCAGCTGTAGCCCGAGTCAGACTGAGTCTTATTCTGTCCTTCCTTTTAGCCTTGCCATATGATTCATCCTTCTTCTTTTAGAATAGTAGTCTATTTATATATTGTACAAGAAAGCAATAGCAAATTAAAGGTAAACACTTGCATATGAGCATGATCTATGCAATTAAAGCAATTTTAAGTGTTTTCCAGAATGGACATGTTTGACATATGGTGTGAAGAAAGAAGGGGGACACTCACATGACATGGATATGACTTTTTGATAATGCTAGCAAGTAAACTCCTCCACGAAAATATAGGAACTTTAGTTCGTTTTCTGAGGAAGTTCAAGAGCTTTTGCTTTTGTATCACTATATTTTTTTTTCTTCTCTGAGCATCTCTTCCCAGAGGCTGCCCAGCTCTAGATATCTTATTGGGTAAGGCTCTGACCATGTGTTAGCCAGTATGTTTATTTTCCGTAGGATAAGGTGTCTTATTTTGCTTTTTCTCCCCAACCTCCTTTGTTGTATAACCACAGAGGATAGGAGAAAGAGATATCAAATACTTGAAAAATAATTTAGATGCTAGTCTGTACTCTTTTAGAATCCTGCTTTGATATGAGGTCCTCTTGATCTTGTTGGGTTTTTGTTGCTGTGTTCAAATCTACAAGTACACAGGAGGTTGCAGGATCTGAACTGTGTTGGTGATTTTCTCCTGTAAGAGCCATCCTTATTTAATTTTGACACATTACAAATAACTGACTGTAAGCTAATAGCAACTCTCCTCACCTCCCATAACCTGTAGTAAGATGAATAAACAGTCATCATAATCCAATGTAAAACTGAGAGTGTGAAAGTCACTGAGAAAGAAATATTGCACTGGCGCTACTAAGTGTGATTTGTATTTCTGATCTTGGTCCAGGTACTAGTGGGCAGATGTCCACATCACAACCCTGACATAACTGGCACAATCTGTCCCACCTTTGCTGGAAGCCTGTACTAAAAATAAACAACAAAAAAAATCCCAAACAAATAAATAAAAACACATTTTGATTTGTTGTCATGATTGAACTAACTCTAGCCCAAAAGGATTGTAATTGACAGGTTAAAGTCCTTTAAGACAGTCCTTCACTTAGCAGTGTAATGGAGAGAGCTCAAGAAGAAAAACAGTTTAGATTTATTTGTTTTATTAAATTATCACATGTTCTACTGGACTAATGGCTTTGTTTCTTAATCACTGCAATGCAAAAAAGACTTTCTGTATATCAGAATGTAAACTTTTCTTATTACCAACCCACTAGTATGTTCAAGGATTCTACCGAGAATCTCTAGTGTAAAAGATAAGATGTGGAGGTGTTTTCAGAATCCTGATATTACTGTGCCTATATGCAGTATAGAACTTCATCAAACAGATTACTTGAAATGTCCTCTTTGGTAGACAATGACTTTTAACATCATGTTTATCTTTTAGATGATGCTTCTCCTGAAAACTTCTCTTTGGCATTTCCAGAACTAGATCAGCAGCTGCAGGTAAACTTTTCTTATGACGGTTTTACTTTACATACACTGTATTTGTTGTTATAAAAAGCCTCTGGTTGTTACACTCTGGTGGAAGTTTTTAGTGGTGTTTTATAGCCTATTAACATTTAATAAGATTGTATATATCCATAGAAGAAAACATTGTCTTTTCAAGATCTGCAAAAAATTTTTAGTCCAACTGCAGGGAAATTACTATTTTAAAAATCTTGCCTGCTTTTAAGGTTTTCTAACCAACTCCTGCAGTGTTGCTGCACTGCAATGAAGAGAGTTCTTGTTCAATTGATGGGAGAAGGAATGAGACTGACATTATACATTATAATGCCTGCAGGCTGTGCTATGACTGATATAATCAGTTTTCTCAGAAGCATTCCAAGAGAATCCTTTGGAGACCAGTCTGATTTGTCGGGATGATGGGCCCCCTATATACTGGACAAAGAGCAGTTTGATGGCAGCTCCATGGTTCACCAGGCACAAAGCCAGTTCTGCATCCAGGGATTATTTCCCTTTCCTCTTTGGTGGTTCTGGAGTGTTTGCTGGCTTTTGTAGACTACTTCAGATCATCTGTTTTCCCAGGAGCATTTAGTCTTCCTCTGGTATTTCACTCTGAAAGCAGTTGTTTCCTGACTGTAAGTTGAGAAAGGCACTAGTTGTCCAATAAGAAAGGCCACTCGTTGTCCAATAATGTCATCTTTCCTGTACCCATCAATTCGTGAGACAGCATGGGAGGGCTGCTGGCTTCAAGGTCTGATGCTTCTGTCCTGCTGCTCTCATCAAAAGGATGACTGAGAAAGGAATGGAGGATGACAGAGATTCTTCTTGCTCTATCCCTCTCATCCTAAGGATATGAGCAGGTTCTTTAAGCATAAGTAGGAATTAATAACAGCTTAAGATTTGGGACAAAAGGAACCAGGTCGTATGCTAACCTCTTCCACTAACCTATTCCACTAACCTTCCAGTGCAGCAAACATGATTGGTATTTTTTTCCTTAGAAGAATTCTATTTGAGAAAAGCAATCATGCTTCATGGCTGAAGCACTGAATTGAAAGGAAAGAACCTGCATTTTGTTTCCAGCTCTCTTAGTGACACATTGCCTAATCCTGGAGTTGCTTCATCCCTCTGTTCATCTCTGAAATTAACTTAATAATTTTTACCTTTTTTGTTAAAGAATATTAAGACCAGTGGGTGAAGATGGCTCTAAAAGAGCAAAGTGTGATTGTTATTGCTGCTGTTAATACATAAAAACAAAATTACTAACATTACATATAAGTACTCTGCAGGACAAGCGATGACTTTTTTATTAGGACTTTTATGACTTTTACATTTCTGGAACCTATGATATACTCTAAATATGGAATTTCAAGTGTGCTGGATAGATAATAGCCTTTCAGTAGAAGTTTTTAAGCACACACTAGCACAGTCCCGTTAAATGTACCCAGTTGGTCTGTTAAGTACTTGACATTTGTTTCACTAAAACCTTCCTTTACTTTCATGATACTCAGTATCAAAGGCTTTGATTCATGTAATGTTCTTTTTATTGTCCTTCATAAACTCTTGATAATATCAAGGTAGCTGAAAGGATAACTTATGATAACTACCTGTCTGACTCAACTGCTTAGAAGTATAAAATCTGTGGTAGCACTTCATCCTTTAGCTTTTCAAGCTTATGTGCATATTTATATTTTGATGCCTTTATGTTTATCCAAGGGCAGGGTTCTGAGCTGATGCAGAGGTAACATTGCATTCAAATTTAGCAATAAAAACTTGAATTTCCTTGCATTTTTCAATCCGGATCACGGCTTCATGTGATAACTATTCCATGTAATTACAATATTTTTAATCTGCTTTAAATTTCAAACAAGTGATAACTGTTACAGAGTTATCATTTACCTTGTTACATTTCTTATTAATTATGTTCTTTTCAATTACTACAATCCAAACTGCTGCAGGTTTGTCAGAACTCTATGGCATGTGTTTGCAATTCATGCCAGCTTTGAAAGAGGTATTTTCCTGTATTACAGAAACAAGTAAAATGGGCTTCATCAGGACCTGCAGAAGCAGTGAATGGTGGTGTGCCTTGTCATTCCATCCATGCTTTTTTCTATCCCAAAGTGTGCTAATATAGAGCACACACATGAAGGGTTGTGTAAATGCAGCTTTTAATTAACTGTGGCAATAGCAGGCTGAAATGCTTGAATTTGTAAGAATGCTGGTAAACATGCTCATAGTAAAAATATTGTATCTTAGAGCCACAAGATTTTCATCAGTGTGCCATAAATACCGTCAAAAACATTTCAATTTTATTTAAAGAAGCAAACTATAAATGCAGGTTATGTGGCTGTATAGTAATAGGCACCTTAAAAAAAAAGTAATAACTTTACATATTTCAGGCATACAAAGGAAAATTTTGAAACTTGTTTTTAAAATAAACCAACAAAAAGCCTAAATTAGCTGATCTTTAAGCTGGATTTTGAAAGCGGCTTGAAAGCTATGTAAGTTCAGCGAGTCACTTGGAAAACCAGAGCCTTAGAATTCTATGCATGCAGGCAGCAGACCACAGCCTGAGTACCAAGCAATTTGCACCTCTGTTTTAGGCTTCGAGCCCTCGTCCTCCTATGTTAGGCCTTGGCAGACAACTTGGCTATTTGAGCAGAATTACCTAGTGGTCCCACTTTTCCTCCCACAATCCTTCCATACCTATTCCCTGGGCAGCAGTATCAGATGGCAGGGCAAAGTTCAGTGCAGCCTCCCCTTGGCAGGGTAACAAGCCCTGTCCAGGCACCCAGCTCGGCAGTGGTGGAGGTGGGATTGCCTGGAGAGAAGGTCTTTCTCGGAGACATAGCAAAAAAAGCTAATGCTCTACAAGGACTCTTACTAAAGGACAGTCCTAGCTGCAGCTTCTTTCTGAAGAATATAAATGATCAGTCTGTGTGTTCTGATGTACTAGCTAGCTTCAGACTAACATGTTTATTTTCAAATTACTTTTTTGAATGTTACATTTTTCTACATATTCCAAGAAGCAATTTGTAAGAAAATAACTACTCTAAATCAAAACTGATATGTGGCCAACCAGACATGAAAGCCCTAAATATGAAAACAGGTCAATTTAAGCTGTATTTGCAGCTTTATTATTAAAAAAAAACCACACACACACACACAACTAAAATAACTTCCTGCTAAGTTATCAGTGAAACAAAACTCATATTAATAAGCTTCTTGCTTTCAATTCCTTTTGTTTGCAGTATTGGAAATTATTCTCTTCCCACTGACGAGCAATACCTGCTTATTTGAGCTTTGGTGTTTTTCCCCTCTCTCATGTGTGCACCATGTGGTGGGTAGTGCAGCAATGGTAGGCTGGTTACACCTGTCACTCTGTCACTGTGAAACTTTAACCTTTGCTTTGTGTAAAAGCTGGATGGGTCCTTGGAAGTCACTTCCTTCATTAGCTGCATAGTGACCCCTCTGACAGACACTTTACTACGGGTTATCTGCTGTATTTAGAAACATACATCAGCATCCAAGGCCTCGTTGTTCAGGTCACTGAATGGAGAGGAGGGTATCTGGTGTTAAGTACCTGCATTGCTATGCCCTGTGCATTGCCTGCCCCATTCCAGCACTTCCTGTGACTTGCTCAGGTCATCTCTCTGTTCTCCATCAAAATCTTTATTCCAGCTGAGAGCTTGATGCTGAAGAGGGAAGAACACAAGTCGTATTTGTATACACAGGGTGTTATATAACTCTTTATCTTTCAAAACCAGGTTGGATGGGACTCTGAGCAATATGGTCTAGTGAAAGGTGTCGCTGGCAGGGGGTTGGAACAAGGTGATCTTTAAAGTCCTTTCCAACACAAAACAATTCAGTGGTTCTGTGGTGTGTTTTCATGAAATTGTGAGCTTGAGAGACATTTATGTCATATTTTGTTTTGCAAATGTGTGTAGTTAGATGACTATAAAATTGCTGCAACAGAGAAAAAGTTTCAACCATTTATAATATCAGGTTTTTAAGTTAAAGGATAGTTTTTCTTCCTTTAGTAGAAAATGCTCATATAAAAGAAGTAATGAAAATGTTATGAAAGGGGCAATGTGTTGTGTGTGATATAAACATTTAGCAGAAACCTTGTTTACTCTGCAACTTTAATTGCTTCTACTCAATGCCAGGATTCTTGTTAGGCACATAAATTTATTTTAGAAAGTTTAAAAGAATACGGTGTTTTTAAGGAGGATGCTGTATTTTTTTTTTACTATGTATTGATTTCCATGAGAATTCCTAGAGCACTGAGTTGCTCTATAATAAGATTTGATTGCCTATGAATTTCATAAGTCTCCCATAATGCTGCTGTGATAACTTTGGTCTTAGATTATGTAAGACCATTTTATGCATGTGTGCATGTTCACCAAGTCAGAACATCATACTAAGGTTAGAAAAGAATAGAAAATCTCCCAGGAAGGAGAGCAAAACTCACAATGGCTCTCATCCAGTTGACCTGAATTGTTTGGAGGAAAGAGAACTTTTTACTTTCATAGTAAAAAAACACCACTAAACTATATGTATCCTAAGATGGGTATCTGAAAGTAGTGGAAGAGTTCCAGTTGCACAACAAAAAGTAGCTGCAATGTGCTATTTTTGCTCGGCACAATGTGGGTTTTTTCTGTCATAGATGAGTGTGCAAGGTCATATAATGAACATAGGCCACATTCAAAATATTGGCATTGGATTTTCCACTTTTCCAGAAGAGTTCAGCTGAAAGTTACCAAATTTACAAAAAGCAATACAGCACTCTTTAATTAGATCAGTGCTGAAGACTTCTAGACAAGTTCACAAGAGCTGGAAAAACTGCCTGATACAATTTTTTCTTGAAACTTCAACTTTTTCAGGAGAAAGTTAAATTTTTTTTTCATGGTTAAACAAACACGTAAAGGCAAATAAACGATGGTGAATTTAAAAATCAACCGTTTTAAAGTTTTAAAATGGTTGAGTGGCGCTGTCAACTATACAGCTTTTGTGGATATGGAATGCTGATTTTTGTATGACAAGGCAAAAGAACTTGTCATGCGAAGGAAGCAAAAAAAACCAAACCCCAAACCTGAAAACTTTCATTCTGTGTCACCCCAGCAAAGATTTTATTTAGAAGACTTCCTTCAACCTGCCTTAAAAAGCAGGCAGGCCACCCCGATGATTAAAGGAATGGAGCACCTCTCCTACAAGGAAAGCAGGTCCCATTCCAACCCAAACCGTTCTGTGATTTTCTGTTTCTTCATGAACTGTTTTAGCATGTCATCTTCCAATACCTTTCATATCTGGATTCTGATCGAAAGTCTAAATAAACAGTACATGTGTCTTGTAAAGATCTACATATATATGTGCAGTTACACAGTGGTCTATAAAAGGATCTCTTCGTGCCTACTTGCTGAATTCTGAAGAACGTTTGTCAGCGTTACCGTGAGTTACTCAAAAAAATGCAAGGAAAAATCAGACCTTGTTGAAAATCAGGCATAATAGGCTAGACCAGTATAACTTATAGCTGTAGCTTTTGTACTAGCTTTGTGAACAAAATCAGAGATGCTGCATGTGCTTTTTTTGCCAGCACAGGAAAATGAGGGTGGATGACACTGAAGCCTGAAATAAACAGGATGAAAAGTAGCAACTGTTGCCATTAAATGTAACTTACTTTGGCAGGGATGTTTTTTGCCTGTCTAGCAGGTATGCTTTTATTTGTATTAATTTATGGACAGGCAAGGTACTTAATGAAGTAGCAAGCTCAGGCTGTCATAAGAGGAAGTTAAAGTATGGCTGTTTGTTTCTGAGTGAGAAAAAAAAACCACTGCAAATTGAACTTTATTAAGGCCTTCTGAAATTAGCCACCACAGTAATCTAGCAATCTCTTAACATTAAAATTTTATGCAGACTTATGGAATGCCATTGGGCCTTCTGTACTGCAGTATCTGCAGTACTTCTCATTGCCTGGCCACAGACAGATAAAAAAGTCCTTCCAGGTGGAATGGAGATTTGTATCTCTCCGTTTCCCGTGTTACTACAGTAGAAGGTGTTTGCTAAATATGCCTGTTTCATATCCTACTGACCAGAAATTACTCATGGATGCTGTAGATAATATCTCTGGAGCTTTTCTTAGAAGTTTCCAAATTACAGAGGAGCAAACCAAATTCTCCAATTCTGGCTGCCCCATCCCTGGAAATGTTCAAGACCAGGTTGGACAGGGCTTGAAGCAACCTGGTCTAATGGGAGGTGCTCCTGCCCATGACAAAGGGTCTAGAACTAGATGCTCTTGAAGGTCCTTTCCAACCCAAACCACTCTATGATATGATCCACTGATATTCTATCTGGTCATTTGAAAACATAATCACGTTTATGTTTTAAAGAAAAATACACTAATAATTTAAAATATTCTTGATATACTCCTTACTACCATCAGACAAATTTAAAATAATTGAATAGAAATTAGTAAACTGATTGTATAATTTGTTTTAAGTTTAATTTAAGTATTAAAATATCAGTGTAAGAAAAAATGTCACTGAAGAGGAAACAATAATAGGAAGGGGTTTAAAAGTCAGCAACTGGTTCTAAGTGAGACTTAGATACCAAGTTTCAGCATGACTAGATAATTTTTAGCTCTCTATATATAACTTTTGAGTGGGAAGCTGGAATATAGAAACTGAACACTCTTTTAATTTTTAAAATGGTTTAAACCAGCCAGATTAGCGGAAACTAAATTGGAAGGAAATCCAAGGTGTTTTTTGCTTTGTTTTGTTGTGTTTTTCTTCTGAAGTATCACTGTTTGGGGACTTTCCCCTTGGTACTGTTCGAAATTGTTTTATTGTGACGCACTTGGTGGTGGCTGATATCTGGTAGACAGCAGAGATGCTGCTTTGGCTCATCCACGCATTCTTGGATTAGAGCACTGAGACTTCTATATTCAGTCTTGCTAAATTTATGCTTATTATTTGGGTGCCTATATGAATGGTGCTCTTGCTCATCCACACTGAAATGCAATTAAAAGCCCTTTTCTAGGGATTAGATTCATCAAGATTTGGGCTGCCCTTTCCCTGGGTACCCAAAATCTCCAAGATCAGGGAGAATGAAATAATGTGCTATGAAACAGTTCTGCTGCAACAGTGTTACATTTAGAACATGGAATATGAGTGTCTGTGTTAAAATTTCAGTGAGGAATCACATACCAACTACAAGCTCCATACATTAGTTACACTTGTGCTTTGGGTTAGGTCTGAAGCCAGCTTACCCTGTCTCCTGAACAAAAATGTTTTTAATCTTTGTCTCTGAATATGTTTGGTAAAATTTAAATTTCCAGTTTAGATAAAAGAAAGGATTACAAGATCATATATAAGAAAAGTCTGAATAGTTGTGCTTTTCTTTTCCTAATAATATTGTTAAGGGAATATTATACTATACAGAAGAGTCAAGGTAGGACAGCAAGAAATGCAAAATAATCTACTAATATTGTGAAATGCAATTGGATGTTATTTAACTGAGCAGTAAAAGAACTATTTTAAGTGTTTCCTTTTACTTCAAACAGGTGGCTCAAGCAGGCTATTTGGAGTTCATTTACAGTCAATAGATTCATGGCTAATCACTTAAAAATACTTCCTGAAAGGGCTATAACCAAAATGTGACAGTTAAACCTGAAGCCTGAATTAAGATGCATTCTTTTTTAAGGACCAAAAGCACCTACATTTAACCAAAATATATTTTCAAGGATTTTGATGAAATTCACATAAAGAGTCCTAGAACACCTTGCTTTTATTTGGCATATTTATTACATTCAGTGTGCATTGAAAAAAAGTTGATCTTGCTGCAATGATGTCAGTTCCTGGCAGTGTAAAAGATGTATGTGATAGGTCTGGCTAAAGCATCAGCTTTAGCATTTACATACCAGTCCAGCTGAAAAAAAAGGGAGGTAAGGGAGAAATCCTTCTTTGAAAAATCGTCAGGGATATTTTGCAAAGCTGATAAGGAGAGTTCTGAAATTTCTCACGAAGTTTGAAGTTTTACACATATGTTTGAAGTTTTACACATATTCAGGGAACTGTTTTGTTTTTTTTTCTTTCCATGAAAGGCCATCACTAGAAATAGTTGGCCATATACTGCAGTTGAGGGAAAAAATTCTTGAGGTATTCTCACAGAAATTTAGATAAATATTGTATCTTTTAAAATATGTGTGGAGTTTTACATAATATTTCATTCAAAAAACAGTGGGGTTTTTTTCTTCTTCTTTTTGTTTTCTTAAAGCCTCTGCCTCCTTGTCATGACTCTAAGGAATCTATGCAGGTGTATAAACAGCACTGCAAAATAGCAGAAGAGTACCATGAGGTCAAGAAAGAAATTGCTCTGCTGGAAGAGAGAAAGTGAGTAACCTTCCCAAAGGATTTACTGTCGTATATTCTCTTTGTAAAACCCTGTTTGAAACATGAAGGTTTAACATTGTATTTTCTGACCTTATATTAATATATACTTATATATATATACTTATTTATACATATATTATAACTGTGGCCTTCCAGTATCTGGAGGAAGCCTACAAGAAAGATGGAGAGACACTATTTATAAGGGCCTGGAGTGACAGGACAAGGGCAATGGTTCAAACTGACTGGGTAGGGATAGATGGAATGTTGGGAAGACATTCTTCCCTGTGAGTGGTGAGGCCCTGGCACAGGTTGCCCAGAGAAGCTGTGACTGTGCAAACCCTGGAAATGTTCAAGGCCAGGTTGGACAGGCTTGGAGCAACCTGGTCTAGTGGAAGGTGTCCCCTGATTGTGGCACAGAGTTGGAACTGGTTTATCTTTGGGGTCCCTTCTAACCCAAACCATTCTATGATCCTATGATTTCATGCCTCTGCCTTATGGTCACAGTAGAGCACAAGTTGGCCATTGCTCTAGAGGATCAACTGAGGCCATTAAGGGCTGTCATAGTTTTGGGCCCTCAGTTTTGTGGATGTCCCTTAAAACCTTCACTGGCAAGCCTCCAGGTCATGTAACAATCCAGTTCAGCTGGTGCAGATTCCTTTTCAATTTTAGTTTTTTCAATAAACGTTGCACACTTTAATGAAGAACAAAATGGATCCTCGTTAAGGCTTAAAATACCTGACAATATTAGTAAACATGTTTCTGTGATGTGCTTTGTTTTTGTATCCACTGGTTCAATATACATTGGCATTTCAGGTGTTCATACCCAAAGTGAATAAGCTGGAGACTTTTTTCTTGTCTATGGCCTGTGCTCATTGCCTTGTCATCTTTTGCTTGACAATTAAATGGCAAAGTGCACTCTGGCTGTCAATCCCTTTCCACAAGAAACCTGAAAAAGAAATTCAGAGAGAGGAAAGAAGGTGAGTAGTAGAATCTCTGCCCAGATGAACTTGCAGTTCAGCCAAGTTTGCATCCATGGGAATCTTCAGCTGCAGAAGCAAGATGATGGGAGGGAAACTGTTGACATCCCATAGTCTTACAAGACAATCAAACAACTCTCTGAAATCCAAACTGTGCAGGGTAAGAAAGTGAGATGTCTTTATCAATATTCATGGCTATAGGCACAATATAGTTACTTTTTGCCTTAAGTGACAAAGCTAGCTGAAGTTTCCCACTCCAAATCCCCTTTTACTGGAGGATCTGTGTGGCACTCAGATGCTGACAGACTGGAACAAAAGCTAAAAGAGAAATGTCCAATGTCATGGGAAAATGCATTTTGCATTTGATTCATATTTGCAGCGTTTGCATTTGATTCACCATTAATTGAACCTGGCCAATCAAAAGCAATTGGTATTTTTAAAAAGATTGAAAGATAAGTAATTTTTTTTTAATTTGCAATGATTTTTCAAATTTGGTTGTCTGATATAAGCTGCTTACATATGTTTTTAGCAATCAATTCAGTGGAAACCGTGTGTCTTTGTCTACTCTGAAAATCCAAGCACAATATAAAATATTAAATGATTGTTTAAGTGCTTGACTTTAGTTATATAAATACCATAGGTAGCCTCCAATCATTTGGGTTTTAGAGTCCACTAATATAAATCCATTATTATTATTATTATCATTATTATTGGCCCATGATAATGAGACATTCGTGTATATTTTTGCACTTCCTGGAATAAAAAAAAGTTGCTGCTTGAATGCAATTTTTTTTAATCTATAAGTCTGTGGTACTAGCTAAATTAGAAACTTCTAATTGCTTCTTGAGAACAACAGGTACATGCACAAAATTGTTTACCTGAACTCACAACGATCCTAATCAACCTCTGAGTCCAGAGGTCAGACTCTCAGTGGTGCTTATCCTGGGTGAATTAAAGGGCTTCAGGCTGGCATTTTCCTTCATTCCACCAGTGGATGTCAACATGGAACAATGCCAGGAAGCTTCCACCACTGCTGTCTTTGCTGAACCTGTTCTGGGAATTCCATGCCTCAGTAAACATATGTTACGAATGGCTGTATTAGCAACAAATGGAATTATATTATTTAGATTCGTATGTACTTTCTAATTACATATTTGCAGCCTTGTGTTCACATGCCGAGTAGCTGTGAAATGTCTAAACATGACAAATATCAGGGCAGCACCTTTCACACCTCCCATGTCTTAATTTGAAAAAGTGATCCTACAGCACTGGGATCAAAGATGTTTAATTTCCTACAAGCTGGTGCACTGTGGTTGCCTGATTTTGACGTTTAACAAGCTGCAAATGCCAACTGAAGATATTTTTTCTCCAGATGTGGACTGTTTTTAACTCTTTCCTCCAGGTTGATCATCCATTTTGTAGTCTTTTGGAGTGGATCTCATGAGACTGCCTTCCTTCATTGCATATCTTTCCTTTCTGTAGCATTCTGTTTTTATTAAATCCTCCAGAAACTAATTGGGATCTCTACCACATGAAGTTTGGTTGAAATTGAAAAGTGGATTAGAAAGTTATTAGGACTCATGTAACTCTATACACATGTAAGCAAACAAACCTGAACATGATAGCCTTGATTTTTATCTAAAACTAGACAGAAAGGGAGTATGAGAGTGGAGCAAAGGAGTAAGCCAGAAGTAAAAGAGAGTTTTGCTCTTGTTTTCACTGATTTATATGTAAAAACATTCTCAGCACTTACAGTAAAAGAGTTAAAAATAATTTAGAGGCTAGCATGTACTGAATAAAGAATGGATTATAAGGCTGAGATGGCATGCATGTTTTGCATTGAGTGTGTACATATGTGTATATACTTATATATTAATATACTTACATATGCACCTTATAATTGTGGCCTTTCAGTACCTGAAAGGAGCCTACAAGAAAGATGGAGAGAGATTATTTACAAGGGCATGTAGAGATAGGAAAAGGCAGAACAGTTTTAAACTGATAGAGAGTAGGTTTGGATTGGATATTAAGAAGAAATTCTTCCATGTGAGGATGTTGGGGCACTGGAAATGGGTGCCCAGACAGCCCTGACTGTCCTATAAGTATTGAGTATGGAAGTATTGAGTATGCCATTTTCAAAAGGGAAGAATGCTTTGACTTATCTAAAAAGCCTGATAAGATGCACAAGCTTTTAGCCTCAAAACCAATTACAATCAAATTGAAAAAATGGAGTTTACAGTTTTCTATAGTTTGCCCCTGCTGTGGGTGTCTTCTAAATTTGAATTTGCACGTATGTCTACTATGTCTACCTGCTATCTATTGTCTATTTCTCTTAAATATTATTTTGATTAAACGGATAATGATCAAGTTGCATCCCTTGTAATGGGAACAAACAGCTTTTATAGTGGTTTTCAGTGTACATTTTTACCAAAAGCAATCACAAGTGCTGTTGGACGATACCCTTGCCAGTGCTCCCAACTTCTCTCCACGGTCTCACCTGGCAGTGAGCTGTAGCTCACAGCTGTAGCTGTGATGCCTGCTGATAGTACACGCAGAATGCTGAAGGCTATGACTGACAGGAAAAAAGCAGAAAATTGATTGAGCAAATATTTTTTTATTTGTTGACTAGGAAGAAGAAATATTATTAACCGGACATAATTATCTCTACAGATATTAGAGCTTTTTAATTAAAAAAAAAAAACAAACAAAAACCCTTCATACATAAAATAATATATGCAGGTATATTTTAATATTATTTTACAAGAAATAGAAAGTTCTCAAACATTGTTTTAACAATAGTGAAAAACATTGATTCTTTTACAGCTTTTACTTCTGCTTAGCTTGACATGTAATGTGAGCATTGAGCATGGCCGAAGTAAAAAGTCAGTGAAGCAAAATTACAGAAATTACTTTCCATCAAGGCAAGAACAAAGCTCACTTTTTCTCTTTTTTGCAATATAGATAGCAAGAGAATATACTAGGCTGGCAGTGGGAGAGAAGATGACAAATATTTCACAGGAAAATGGGAAATGTGAGAGAGAGAAAGAGGCTGCAGTTTCAAAAAAGGGAAAATCAAAGGACAAAGCTAGTAAGGATGGAGAAAGAAGTTACTCAAGAACAAAAAAGGAAGCAAGAATTTGAAAGAACATTGGGTAGATTTTTTTGCTCGTTTAATCATAGCTTTGCTGTATTTACTCAAACTTTTCACATTTATGCCAGCAATACGTAGTACAAGGGGAAAAACCACTCTGGAATGGGAGACATGATTGAAAATAAAGAAAAGGGTGTGGAAGCGAGAACACACCACATTTAGGGCACAGAATGTAATTTAATTTATGTTCCAGAAACACACACGTATTTCCATAGCAGATGGTTTTGGGTATCTAACTTTGGGTGAAAGGGATGAGATGGCTGGTTATTTTGAGCACTTGTTATATTGCTATTACTAGATAATGACCCTGGATTATGTAGTTAAATATTAGAGTTGCCATGGTTGCTAGCTGTATCTTATATTCTTAGCACTGGATGGTTATCTCTTTTTCCTCTCCTAGACAATTCTAATATAACTCTACAGAAAATATAATTTGATCACCACCTTGTTTAGGATCACTCGTTTTCTTGGCCATGGATATGATTTCTTTCCTTCTTTTACACATTAGAGTAGACATAGAATCATAGAATTGTTAAGATTGGAAAAGACCTTTAGGATTACCATGCCCAACTACTAACCCAGCACCACCTCCCTGTTCACCATTAAACTGTGTCCTCAAATGCCACCTCCACATGTTTTTTAACACCTCCAGGGATGGTGGCTCAACCATTTCCCTGGGCAGCCCATTCCAGTGTTTGACAAACCTTTCAATTAAAAAGTTTTTCCTGATATCTAATCTGAACCTCCCCTGGCACAACTATAGTCCATTTCCTCTTACCCTGTCCCTTGTTCCCTGGAAGCAGAGCCCAACCCCTACCAGGCTTTACCCTCCTCAACAAGGAGTTGTGGAGAGTGAAAAGGTTTCCCTGAGCCTCCTTTCCTCCAGGCTGAGCCAGCACAGCTCCTTCAGCTGCTGTGGTGGTCCAGACCTTTCCCCAGCTCCATTCCCTTCTCTAGACACACTCCAGCCCCTTAATGTCTCTCTGGTAGTGAGAGGCCCAGAACTGGACTCAGGACTTGAGATGTGGCCTCAGCAGTGCCCAGCAGGGGAACAGTCACTGCCCTGGTCCTGCTGGACACGCTATTGATGATAAAATCCAGGATCCCAGGGACCCTCTTGGCAAATGACATGCAATGGAGACGTCTGCTTAATTATGTGGGAGCCTTTCATATGTTTTAGCTTGCTTTCATGATCACAGGACTGTTTCTATGCTTTTTAGTCCAGAAGATTTCTCCAGGTACACTGTTTCCTGAGTGTCTTTCCCAACACTGTGAAAACAACTAGTTTTCAGACTTCCAAGTACTTCAGGAAAAGATTGGTGTAAACCTTAAAGGCAGTGGTTTAGCTCATTAATTTTCCCATCTAGACCTGTTTTTTCATCATCTCTCATGTATGCAAAATATATGTTACTTGCCAAATACTAGAAATTAAATTACAGCTTTTCTAATACAAAGAGAGACCTCCTCTTCTAGAAGAAGTGTCCTTGCCTTTGTAAGGTCCTTTCCAACTTGAACTATTCTGTCATCCTATGACCTTTTATGTGTTGGCATCTGAGACACATTTTCATTTACATTAAAGCAGTCTTTAATTATGCTGTTTTTAAATTAACTGGTAGGTCTCCTCAGACAGCAGTTACCTTACAGGGTCTCATAATTCCCCCTGATGGGACAGCCATGCCAAATGTGAGAAGAGAAAATGATCTTATGGCCACCAGTACACACCAGTTGTTGGAGAAGATACTGAACTGCCGCAGATGCATGATCCTGAATACCTTGTTCACAGCAGGGGGGAAGACAAATCTGATCCTTTGTATTGTGGAAACTGTTTTCCTTATGTCTAGTCCATCTCTAAATACACTTATCTCCAGACAGATTTATCTGCTTAGTCTGCCACTTTTCTTTGTATTTATTCCTTGTGAATAGGAATGTTGAGGAACTCTGTTCTCTGCATGTTTAGTCATTAAGGCCAGTACAAGAGAAATAATTTCTCTAAGACCATGCTGTGTTTTTCTCCTGCTTGTGGTTTATCGGTTTATGATGCAAATCACTAATGTTGCCTCCCAAAACCCTCCCCAAAAAAGAACAATTCAAGTGCACGTTACAGATTGTCTCGAAGCTTTGAGTACCTCAGCACTAGTTTAGAAAATACCTTATCAATACTGTTAATATTTAAACTTGGGGTAACCATTAACGGAAAACACAGATTACACAGTGATACATCTATTTATTAAGCATCCACAACAAAGTCTAGATGGTGCAAGAGCTTAGTATGGTGTTCTTTAACCTCTGAAAGATAAGTTCAAATCTTGGATTAGATCAGATGTAAATGTTAGTTACTGTCCTCATCCTTTTGTGAGCTCCGTAAACTACACCATTCATAACATTTAGCAATTCCCTCGTTCTCTAATTTTAGATCTGTGGCAGGCTGACAGTATTAGCCTGAAACGTCACCCTATCCCGTAAACAGGTGTTGATCCTGATGGGAAGGGACTAAGTAGGTTCTGCTGACTCAGAAGTGGGCAATTTTACTACCTCAGTGCAAGGAAATTGCTTTCTGAGAGGGAGGTCCAAGAGTGTGGACTACAACAATGAGTATATTTCGATTTTAATGCATTTATAGTTTTTTTGATGGCAAAGCTAAATCCTGGGGAGGGGGGAGGAAAGTTATCAGTGCTGTTTGAATATTACTGGAGACTGGCATGAAAGCCATGCCTGCAGAGTATGTCATCAAATCAGGACTGATCTTCAATACTAGAGCTGTCTGAGTTTGCACACTGTCTGTCTGTGGCTCTTCTGGCTCAAGTCCAGGATAGACAGTACCATTCCTTTTCAAGTACTCAAAGTTCCCACAGAAAAGGTTTACCTGCTTTTAAGATGCTGATTACCTAGTAACGTGTTCACTGCATTTCCCTTTTAAGAAGCTCATGAGTGTAAGAAAAGGAAGAATGATTCTGAATTCATTTTTTTGGACACATCTGACTTAACAGTATGTAATTTGAAATAACTTAATTTAGCTCTTCAGTCCAACATTGTACCAGAGAATAATTGCAAAGAAATATTGCAGAAGTTCTCATTCAGTCTCCAGAGATAAAAGTCTTCCACAGGAAGTCCAGGGAGACTAAAAAAAAACCCAAAAACCAAGCGTCTGGAGTTGTAAAATCTCATTGTCTCTGAATGTATTTCTCATGTGAAATCACTCCTCCATGACCCCTGGCCCATGAATAGGAGCTGTCTAGCAAGATTGTCTTGACTTCTTTGAAAACTGGGTGATCTAGAATGGCCCAGCCACAGAGAAATGAACCTGTTAGTGGCTTGCTGTGTTTAAAACTTGTACAGCTATATTGTGTTAAATGTAAACAGAATTCTACTGAGCAAAATACCCTCTTGATGTTCCCCCTCAAAGGCCTGATTGAATGCACCTGTCACCTGGTGAAAGGAAAAAGAAGAGGCTTTGCTGCAGCATAGCTGCTCTGCATTACCTCAGTAGTATAAAACAATCATATAGGAAGATGCCTATATGCTCCCTCTTTGGCTGATTTTAAAATTCTGTAACAGCTGCTAACTCTTCTCTCTCTCTCTCTTTTTTTTTCTTTTATTTTTTACCTGTGGGAAGCACAGCTGGAAGAAATGGCTGTACCAAGGCTGTTCTTCTAACTTGTGACTCCTTGAACTGCAGTAGCTATGATTGTAAACAGTCAACTAAACCATGGGCAAATTCTGCTATCACTGAAAACTGAAATAAAGACAGAGGAATTTTGAATTGATCCTGAAAGAAGGTCACACAGAAGTGTTTTTCAAAAGCCAGATTTACAATTTTGCTGCTCGAAGTGGTAGCTTTTCAGCTACAAGTAACATAAGTGATCAGCAAACACAGAAATGTTATCTTTTCGTGAATACTCTGACCTGTGGGAATAGAATTCCCAATCTGTAGGAATTTCCTGTCTGAAAGCACTGGTCTAGCCTGACAAGTGGCTCCTTTAAGTACTGCAGTGAAATCTATGCACTGTGAAAGCATTAACAACTTCCCACTGATGATCTACAAGCATTGTTTTGACGTGACTGAGAAATAAAGTCACAGGGCTATGAACAGTTAAAAGATTAATTAATCTCTGCGATAGAAAGATCAAAAGAACCCTTTAGAAGAGACTTCCTGTAACGGGTGAATTTTTGACTTGAAGGGAAAAAGAAACCCAGAGGCCAGGCTAGCCTGGTGGGTGACTAAGGGGAAAGCAATTAGATACTCTGTGACTTACTCATGCCTTCAGTGTGTTTAAGACCTCCTTTATCTTAACTTGCGCTGAGGTAATTTCAGTTGATACTATATAGGAAACTCCTGCTCCTGGCCGGCTCTGGGAATAGAGGGCACTGTGTGACTCCATGCAGAAGTCAGAGCTTAAATGCTCTTATGTCTGTATTTAAGAGGACCAGGAGGGGTCAGGTTTGCAGCTATATTGCTCTTCCTCAGCAATAAGGCTAAGGTCTGAACCTAAGCGCATTAGAGAAACAATATCTGTAGTTCAGAATCAGTGCCTACCACTTACTGGATTTGTTTGTAGCAGAGAAAAGGAAACCAGGCACACTTCACAGAACTTACTGATGAATCTAACCAACCAAACAAAAACACCTCCCTCTCTTTCTGTGATATCTGGTATCAAGAGAAAAATAAATTCTTATTCTTCCGGCAAAGTATTAGCAAGTCATCTCCAGAACTTGATTCTCCATTGTGAACTGTGTGCTCAACTCTTACTGAAGTTATAAATCACAGAATCATACAATCAGTAGAATAGTTTGGACTGGGAGGGACCTTAAAGCTCATCCAGTTCCATCCCTTGCCATGGGCAGGGACACCTTCCATTATCCCAGGTTGCTCCAAACCCCATCCAGCCTGGCCTTGAGCACTTCCAGGGATGCAGCAGCCACAGGCTCTGTGCCAGGGCCTCACAACCTTCAAAGGGAAGAATTTCTTCCCAGTATTTCATTTCCTGCTCTCTTTCAGTTTAAACCCATTCCTTTGTTTTGTCGCCTGTGTCAAGAGTCCCTCTCCAGCTCTGTTGGAGCCCCTTTTGGTACTGAAAGGGGCTCTAAGGTCTCCCCAAAGACTTCCATTCTTCTGAACAGTCCCAAATACAGACACATAAACACAGCATTTTTCAGGCTTGGTCACTGAACAGCAAACCTATCCAAGATTTTGGAAGTTTAGTCTTTTAGAGGGGATAAACAGGACTCTAAAAACTTAATTTTCTAGGTCCTTGTTTCACACAAGTTCAAGTAGTAAAAAGTAAGTTAACAACCCACAGCCCATCTTTGACCTAACACATGACAACAAATTTTTGCCTACTGCCATTTTTAATATTTGGGGTTTTTTTAATAATTGTCAGAAAGGAGCTGATTGCCAGACTGGAACAAGTGGAAAAAGAAAGCATGGATGCTGCTCAGCTGGCTAAGGAGTATGCAGAACTGACAGAGGAGAACCGAACACTGAGGCTGGCCCAGACGCAGTGCGTGGAGCAACTGGAAAAGCTCAGGATACAGTACCAAAAAAGACAGGGCTCCTCCTAACTCCCAACTAGCTCATATGAGGCACTTCATACAGGATTGGTCCTGTGCTGGAAAGAGATTTTAAAATAAATATCTGTTTAATATGTTACAACACTTTACTACAGATACAGAGTATGTAGAAGTCTATATTTGATGTAATGCTTGCCTCCCAGTAGCTTAATATAATGGATATTTCATCTGTTATATAATGGATGTTTTATTTCAAGTAATGTAATTGAAGTTAATCTATCCCCATTATATGTTCTAGTGGATCAGATTTCTTTTCTAAACATATTTCTTCCAATTTAAGAAGATATGGACACACTAGAAAATTATATAAATAGTCTCTGTGTTGGAAATTTGGATCATACTAATGCATACGGCTGGGACAATGTTAATATATGGAATAAATGTATGTTAATTTTAGTTTGGTGAATTCTTTTTAAGTTATTTTCCTCATGCCTAAAGTGTCTGGAAGTTATCTTGAAGCAGATCTCTTCACTAGTAAAAACTATACTTCATGTCATCTTCACACTGTTGTATAAAATCTGAAAAATAGCACATTAAAAATTGAAGTAACAAAACCATTTTTTTATCAAACAAGTGCACTGCCAATGATAATTTGCAAGTTATAAAATTAAAAGGAGACTGGTGAGATCAAACTTTCCTTCCTCAAGTGTAAAGATTGCTTGAGTGTCTTTTTATTGTACTTTTTGGCATGCAAGAAATGAAAAATTAATGTAAGAATCGTAGGTTCATCATAGTTTCAGCTTAGACTATGTCAGTAAAATTATTGTGAGGATCTTTTGTTCTTATTTTCTGGTCTATTTTGAAACATAAGTGGCTGTAACTAGGGACAGGAGTTCTATGATACACAAATAACTGGGAAGTAAAACATCAGTTTTACTTGCTCTATTTATCTCTGTATTTTCTTAGATCAACTTAATTCCATTTCTACAGCAGTTTTTTTCATTAAATGTGGATGTGTGATTTATGATCTGAATGTTCTCAAATCACCTTGTATTTTAAACTCTGCTTGACAGATTCAGCTTGTTACGTCTTCATGAGCTTGGAATTCAACTTAATGTGTTATTAGTACTGAAATGTGTCTTACTAATTGAAAACTATGAACTTAAGATTTGCACCAGGACTTTAGCTTTGATTATTATCATTTGTCTATCATGAAAATGAAATTTCATGTTAATCAGAACAATTCCTGGCAGCAAATGTGACAAAAAAAGAATTACAAGCTGCCCATAATTTTTCTGATTGCTTAGAGTATTCTCTGCAGCACAGGTGTGAAAACTGGCTCTGTATTACTCCAAGCACCTGGCACTGCAGCAGGAGAGCATGAAGAGGCAGCAGGAGAGGATAACCTTGTTCCCACATCTCCTCCTGAGCCGCCAGGGCAGCATCAGCATTCAAACCTGGCACTGCTTCCTGCTGTACCTGGGAAATCACCACTCCATGGCTTTCTGCTAGGATGCTCCCTGAGCAGTGTAACACTGTGTTTATTCCTTTTATTATCTGAGGATCCAATTTTCACTGTACCTTGTGGAAGTTGAAGAGGAAAAAAAAACATAGTTAATAAAAACCACTTGGAATACTGAGCCTGGAAGTGCTGGAAAAGCCTTGTTTGAGTTTTGCACTGATGGAAACATAACTTGAAGAGAAATCAGAGCTTTGCTTTGAGCACAGAACAGCACAGAAACTAGAATCTACCTTTTTTTTTGTCTGTGTTTATATGTTTTGAACAAGAAAAATCTAATTTTAAAATAGTTTGTCATTTTAGTAAAAGGTTTTTTCCTTCTAACCTTGAAAACATCACCCAGTTGGATGATTTCAGTGAATTCATTGAAAACCATATAAAGTACATAAAACTAGTTTGTTGACAGACTGGCTTTGGATGCAAATGGATCAGACAGCAGACCTTTACTTACGAATAACTGTGTTCACCTTGAGATTTCCAATTTAAGTGCAGTTACTATGCTTTAGATATCAGAAAAATAACAAACCATATGCTGGGAGAAAAACCTGAGGCAGAGCCACAGTCAGGTGGAGAAGGAAAGCTGGGCCTCATTTGTGGCAATCAGCTCTCTGACAAGAGTCAGGGAGTATGTTTTTCCTAACCTGTAGGTACTGACCAGTATAGAAAAATTCAAGAAATATTTTACAGATGTGCAGACACCAAATTTTTGGTGTGGTCCACCCTACCAGCCTGAATAAATATGAAATTCTTAAATCATCCCAAATTAATTTAAGTCAAAGATTTATATTCAACTTGGACTGTAGCTATGTGCAATCAGTTTTTCCTCCTGCTGTAAATTATGGTGAAAGTAAAAAATAACAGCCTTGTATGAACATATTTGCCTGCGTGCATGCTCATGTGCCTGAGAGCAGGGACTCAGAGAAATTGAATCACAATACAAATGAGTAAAACTGATATGGAAGTACCAAGGAAGAAAAATGAAAGTGTCTCTTGGAAACTATTTTTAAAAGAAAAAATATTTGAGGAAGTGGAATTCAAAGGCAGGAAGGTAGGGAAATGGAATTTTCCAAAAATATTCATAGGCAAGTTAAATTAAAATGTAGCATAGTCAACATAACGCAGAAAATTATCCAGGTTGAAAAAAGAGTAAAGGTAGCTGGAACAACCTGAGAGGTAACTGCTGTATCTATCATCCATCTCTTGATCTGTTTATCAACAGCATAATAGTGAGAAAAATTTTCATATTCAGTAAGTCTGCAATTTTGACATGCTGAGTTTTTCTTTGGATACAGTGGAGCTCTGCTGACTGAATAGCTGAAATTAAGCTTTTTAATGAAGCATTTATCATACTGATCTTGTATTTTCTACATAGACAATATGGTTTGTGTCCTGGTTGAAGTGGTCCGCATATTAGGTCCTGTTGTATGTATCACACTACAAAAACAAGTTTAATACGATTATTTAAAAAATGGTTTCTCATTGTATTTCTATTTATACCCAAGAACTTAGAAGCAAGTTTTTGAAATCAAGTACTCAAAAAAAGTTCAATTCTACAACATGTGACTACAACCTGTGAGAATTGCAGTTGTATAACAGACAGAGTATTTCTTGCTGTTATACAGGTTATTCAGGTTAGCAAAAGTAAGCATGCCACTACCATGGTAAATGCATTTTTGCTTCTAAACCACTTAAGGCACAGTGAAGCATGGGGTTTAAAATAAAAACAAGACCTGTGTTTTCCATTTTCTATCATTGCTATCTAACTTCCTTCCATCGTAAAGAATGCTGAACAGACTCAATTCAAGGCTTCCAGTTAGCAAGGATATGACTCATGCAGTATTGAAACAGCCAGAGCCAAGGGTGACTTGACACTCAGAAAGTCTGGAAGACAAGGAGCTGTGAGTTTGAGTTCGGTGCCTTTTTTTAAAAAATGTTTCTCTTTCCAGGATTACCTCTATTCTGTCTGGTTTTGTGAATTAATGATCTTCGGAAGTGTGTCACCTTCCACCAAGAGTTTTATTGTCATGTAGCGTTAACAGTGGGGACGGGTGGGACAGAAGGCTGTTCTCAGCCTTCCTTTGAGTTGTGTGGTTGGGGTCTCTGCCATGTCACCCTTTGCTGCTTCATCTCCAGTCACAGGACACCTTGCAGAAATGTGCTAGTCACAGTAACAATCATGAAGCCACTTGGTGTTTTTCCCTACCTAAAATACTTTTCTTGATCAACACATAAAGTGGGAGTGTCTAAAGGAACAGGGGACACTTGTCTGAAGGAGTCTTGCCTCTCTTTCTGGTGGGGGGTACAAGATGTGAAATGGTGGAAGAATAGGGCTGCAGGGAAAGAGATGTTTGGTCCAGGCAGTGATGTCACAGGAAGAGCAAGACTGTGAAGAGAGTTGACAAAACCTGGGTGCTGCCATGACTTTTCACTCCCATCCTCATACTTTCACACTCATACTTGTGCACCCACAACTCTGAGGGTCTTCTCCTTCCTGGTGGAATGTCATGGCATGCACATACACGGATGATATGGTGATACATATCCTTGGAAAACCCACGATAAAACTATTAACTGTCTTCATAACAGGCCTGGAAGGTCTGCAGCAATGAAACACTACAGCTGAACAAGTACCAAAAAGCTGGACCCTGCTGTCCATCTTGATGTACTTCTCTGGGACAAGACCAGACAACTGCATGATTGCACCACTGTGAACTTTATGGAGGGAGGGAAATTGGAGGGGCAGCCTAGACCTCACCATTTCCTTCACTGAGTAGCTTGGTTTTGCAATGTTAAACTGGGTGTTATCAAGATGGTCTTTCAGGTGCACACCAGAACTGTGTAACTGACACTTTAAATTCAAAGTAGATTATTTTATAAGAATGAAAAACCTACCTTGCTGGGGACAGTCACCTCTAGGTTCTTCAGTGCTCCTAAGAAGTAATGTCATGTGTTTCTCGTACCTGTATGAATGAAAGATGACAACCATTCACAAATCACTGTTATCCTCAACCCAGGCTTCCTCCACTGCATGGTTTATTCTGTAGAAAGCACAAGATTTAGCATATGAGTCACTCTGCTTTTCTACACACCAATTATCAGTTCCCCCTTCTAAACCTCAGTTCCTGTAATCCCTCTGACCACAGTCTATCCCCACTGAGTAAGCAGCATCAGCCTAGAGCTCAGATCCAGTTGTCTGACGATCTTATGACATGGTCTGATGATCACCATGTGCTCAAGGTGGTTTCCAAATGCTATGTATGATGTTTTGTGGTTCGGTGCTGGTATGTGGCAGCAAGGAATTCTACCAGCTGCAGGTGCCTGCTGTGAGACATGCTTGGTTTCCTTGAACTGGTTAGAAAATATGAGAGTATGGATTTAGTTATTTGTCTGAATTTTATACTAAATATTAATTCAGGGATTAGGGAAATGAAATGAGGATGTGTGTGCTGATGTAACAAATGTGCAGCCAGATGCCAAACTGTGCTTTGGGTGCTTAGAATGAGTTAAGTGATAAGAGAACTGTAAGTGATGGAAAGGAAGTAGGTACAGCTAGGAAGAGGAACTGGTGACAGAGCTGTTGCCTTAACTGCTTGCTTTCTGGCTGTTTATGGCTTGCACCAGTAGAATGCATAGGCTGTTGTCCTTAGCTCAGCATTAAGAAGCTTTTGTTTGGATGTGTCCCCAATGCTTTTCCAAGCCTCGCTTACACTAAAATTTTATACTGGAATACTTCCAGTATATTTCTTACTTCATTAAGGTTATGTTTTTGTCAACTGTGATACAGCTGTCAGAGCACAGCAGATGGTTCTTCTACAGAAAGAGGAATAACAAGTATCAGGATATGACTATTCTGGTAATCATGGAATCATAGAAAATCTTGAGTTGGGAGGGTCCCATAAGGGTCATTGAGCCCAATTCTATTCCAGCTGCTGTATTT